TTACTGTAGCAAATTTGTTAAAAATGTTATTTTGTGTGTGTTTCCAGAAAAAGCTGCTAAACACTTTATGATTTTAAATACTGATTCAGGATATACACCTTTAAATTATAATGCTTTTAGAATGAAGTGCAGAATGCTATAAAAATTACTTCAATGCTCAGATGACTGTGGGATTCATAGATTTAATAGAGTAAAAAAATTCCATTAAATATATATATATAATAATAAAGAACAACAATATATATATATATCTATATATATATATAGATATATAGATATATTGTTGTTCTTTATTTAGCTAAAAACAATATTAAAATAATACACACACAAATAAATAAAATAAAAATAATACCTTTACATACAGAATTTACAGATACTATTTACTTATAAGTTTATTTGTTGTTGATAGTTACTTTTTATTACACTTGGAAAAATTATACTTACATACATATGCTCTTAATATTACACGTATCTGAATATTTAAATGATAATTCCATAACATAATAAGATTCAATCTATGTCACAGCAAAGACAATACTTAAATCACAGTTCTTTTTATTAATTAATTTGCATAAGTAAAAACATAAAAATATTATTTAGCTTCAAATCTATAAAATAAGTCCTCTAGTAACAAACATATGACACACATATAGTGAAAATAAAGGTAAATAAATAAAAATGTTTTGCTTTTTTGTCTAATGTAGTGCAATTCAGTCTATTATATTCAAATTTTATTAAAACATACTGCAGTAATTGAATTTTTTCCATTATACATCAAACAGCTTTATATAGAATGATATTATATTAGTTTTACTTTTAAAACTATTGGGTTGGAGGGAAAGTTCTGTCGTATTTTAAAGAAAATATTTGAATTCATTTATAAAAATATGTGTTTAATATTAATCAATTATATATGCTCCGTTATTTGTTACAACCTGTTGCCATCTTCCAGGTAACCTGTAAATTCCTGTTTTGTAGAATTTCTCATCCATGGAGTTAAAATAGTCAGCAACTGCCTTAGAAACACTTTCAAAAGCCTTGAATTTTTTTCCCGTTAGATAATTTTGCAGAGATCTGAACAGGTAATAATCAGAGGGTGCAATGTCAGGTGAATACGAGGGGTGACTAAGGATTTCCCATCCTAACGCATTCAGTTTTTGTAGTGTCACCACTGCAGTATGTGGGCGAGCATTATCGTGATGGAACACTATTCCTTTTCTGGACGCTAATGCTGGCCTTCCTTCTTTGATAGCTGCATTCAATTTATCCAGCTGATTGCAGTACAGATCCGCGTTGATGTTTTTTCCCTGTTTCAGCAACTCGTAATACACTGGACCTTTCCTGTCCCACCACAAACAAAGCAGTACTTTTTGTTGATGGATACTTGGTTTTGGAACTGTTGCTGATGATGTTCCTGGTTTGCAGTAAGATTTTTTTTCTTTTAATAGTCTCGTAAAGAATCCACTTTTCATCTCCAGTAACCAGCCTGTCCAAAAACGGCTCCACATTGTGTCTAATCAGATGTGATGAACATATTCTTACACGATCAGACAAATTCTTTTCCGTTAATTCATGTGGAACCCAAACACTTTGCTTTAACACAAACCCAAGAGATTTAATGTGATCTCCAACAGTTGTATGATGAATGCCAAACTCTTCTGCAATTTCTTGACTTGTTAAATGTGGATTATTTTCCAACATGGATCGCAAAACATCATTATCGATCTTGGATGGTCGTCCAGATCGAACACTTTCTTTGAGGCTCAGGTCCCCGGAACGAAATTTGCTAAACCATCTTTGACAAGTACGAACATTTACAATATCTTTTCCAAATACCGCACATAAATTTTTACATGCAACAGATGCGTTGCTTCCTTTTTGGAATTCATATAAAATGCAGTGTAATAAATGCACTTTATCTGCCGACATGTTTTCCCTTTAAATATTACAAGTAAATGATGAATGGTAAAAAAGGGCACCTTTTATATTATACAGCAGCTAAAAAAACAAAAAAAAAATCCGATTGACTCACTAGCCAGATGTTTTTTTTTATTTACAAGAAAAATCACCTGCCTATTTAAAATACCACAGAACTTTCCCTCCAACCCGATAATATAATATAATTAATTGTCATTTATATGCGGAGATGTCTGAATAAATGCAAAAAACCATCTGAATAAATCTTAGCCAATTTCAACACTATTCAGATAGTATTCTTGTTTTCAAGGTATATAATTTTTATTTTGTTCTTTTTCCATTAAAGGAGCTAACCTAAGAGACTTATTTCATTTATATATATCTCATTGATATATTATAAATATAGCTTAAACATGTTTTATGTGCATACTCAAAGGGGTGGGAAGTAAGCCTTGATTCAAAATCTGTTTTAAAGCAATAAGTAAATAAATAAAATACACTGGTTCTATTAGAATGTCAAAAAATACTGTTATGTATTCTATAAACAAATCCAAATTATCACATCATATTACATAACCCTGGTACAAAGAAGAAATGTCGGATTAGGAACATACTCTATTTATTTGGTAACAAAGAAGAGTAAAACATATGCAACATCACATTATGAAAAATCCTGCAAGCCATTACAATACTATAAGACATTGATTAGTAAGGTAAACATCAGTTGATCATTCTTTCACAACAGCAATAAATGTTTCATTCAAAATTCCTAATAACATGCCAAAACAGATTCACAATTGATGCCTCATTTAAGGTCACACAAAAGTAAATCCGATTTAGCTGACTATGAGATCTTCTATTGTAGAGGACTTTGTAAGGAGAACTGGCTTGTATTCACATTACACATGGGGAAAAACCCAAAAAAAACCAACCATGCAGCCAGCCTGTTCGGAAATAGAACAGAAGATGGAACTCCCAGCATTAAGTAACTTTAACCATTCAGCTGTTGGTGGGCCTAAGTTATTATTTGAAGAGACAAGCAGCAATTTTTTCCAGTGACAACTACTCTACTTTTTTACAGACAGAACTGAACAGCAAAAACTTCTTAAACTCTTGATTAGATTCTAATTTACTTTCTTCCTTTTAAAAGCAGGAGATGCAAAACTTTGCCGCTGCTGCCTTTTATTTTGAAGAAGCTTCTTGAGACCAATTCCACGGGCAGTCAAATAATTTTTATTATCTTTATTTTGATATTGCAACAGGAGGGAATATTTACCTCGCCTGCTTTCTTACAAATCATATTAACAAATTCCACATCCATAATTACATTTCCATGTATTATTTCGTCTCGAAAATTTTGAATTATTTTTTCACACAGAAGGCACAATTTAAAAATTTCTGGAGAAGGACATTTAAGCCCACCTAAATTTGCAAAATTAATTATGTACTGCTTATTTTCATCAATGGAAGGAGTATTTTGCTCACAAACTAAGAGAAACTGTGAGCATGAATTACAAGCATTTTTCAAAACAGAATATATTGCAGCTCCTGCAATATAACAGACGTTATTTTCCTCACTAAGGGTGAGATTCTGTAGAGATACATCAGAAACTTCTGGTATGGTAACAGGCTCTAAAGCTTTTTTTCTCCTTCAGAAATTCAAATTCATCTTTCGCATAGTTTAATAAGTAAATATCTGAATCAGTAGCATAACTGGAGTTCTTAATGTCAGATATAAACTGAGATAAACAGATAAGCTTTAATGCTTTCACAGCTTGCAAAGCACTTGGCCTCAAACCAGCTTTTCTGCATATCTGAGAAAATACATTTTCTAGAGCATCTTGTGTCAATCTGCTCGTCAAAATAAACTGAAATCATTCAGAAAACATGCCTCTGCTAACTGTATGGCTGATAAAGTAGAGAGAATCAAACCAGTATGTAATGGTTTCCACCCTTTACCAATTTCTATAAGCTGTATAACATTAATAAATTCAAAAAGTAACTCATTTTTTTTCTTTTATTTGTCACAGAAATTGAGTTCTTTCTACATCTAGAGGATAGCATTTGAAACCACTGACATATAAATCTTATCCACCATGCTGTTGTAAGAGCATTAGGGCTTATCTCTTTTAAAGCTACTGCCTTCTCCAATCCCACAGCTGTTTTAATTAAAAAAAACTCACAGCAGAAGCAACATTCATTTTATCAAAATGTGAGGGGAAGAGGTCTTCTTTACTGAGATGATGCATAGTTCTCAAACCACAATTTTGGTTTGTTTCAGTAAACCAGATATCTTTTAATAAATCCTGCAGATACATGCAAAGTAACGAAATTTTCTTTACTGCAAACATAACTGGGCAGTTTTATACTATGATTAAGAGTTGCAGACCAGAGATTTTTTAAAAGATGTGGCACATCTGCAAATACATAAATAATTTTGCCCTTAATTTCAGTAGTGAAATTATTTCTTTGGTTTCGAGAAACAGATATTCCCAAAGAATTCCACAGGCTTCTATTTACTGCTGCCATATCGCTAACAATACCAACAACATTAAATCCAACAGAATTGACAGCTTCGATAACATTGACAACAAGTTGTTTCAGCTGGCATCCTGTTACCTGTCCAGTTATCTCATGGGCAACCACTTGCTTCCATTTCAGCTTCAGACCTCTTAGTAAAATAACTAAATAGTGATTTCCTGCACCCTTTTGATTTCCTAATGTACATTTACCAATAAATTTACGTTTTGAAATATCAAAATCAGGATTGCCAGAAATCTCCATTTCATCCAATGATAAAATACAGTCTTTATCACTAGCATTCATTTTTTTCTCCTTTAATTTTCAAAAGTTCAATCATGTCACTGATGACTCCAAAATTCATTTCAAGACCTTGAAGTCTTTTATTTAAAGTGCTGTATGAAGGCACAGGAAAACCTATTCTGTGCAAGTAATTATAACCATGCTTGCCCAAGGCAAATCTAACTTTGAGGCCTTTTATTATTCCCTCGTTAGACCATTTTGCAATGCTTCTACGAGGAATTTTCAACATTGCTATTTGTTCATCTGAAATGAAATGTTTTCACTCCTTTCAGCAATTCCTCATGCTGTACTTGAAGGTCATGAAGTTGAATTTCAGTGCTATGCCATTTTTTTAAAACATTAATTTCATTTTTTTTGGTTGCTGTAAGTTCTTTCAGTAATATTTTGTTCTGGCATTGCAGAAGCTAGATCAATTCAGTCTGCTGTTTTATAAAAGTCCTTAAAAGAACATCCTGGAATAAAGAAAAAATCTATATGAATAATCATCTATAAATCATATATAAGGGGGGGGGAACACACAACAAACAAAAAAGATCTGAAAGGTTTCAGATTTTAAATTACACCCAAAGGGGCTTTTTTTAACATTTTGTGTTTTACCTTTATTTATTAAATATCAAGTTTTTCACACTTAAACTATAAAATTCAGTTCAACAGCAATATTGCAAGATAATTTTAAAATGAAGCATATCTTCAGAATTCCCGATTCATTGTCTCACACGCTGGAGATAAAAGTGTCTTTTCTGTACAACATTGCCATTGCTCGCTTTGAAATCCTCAAGTTTGTTAATCAAAAATTCGTTAAAGTTTTACAACATATAAAATCTATATTAAAAACAAATTCCGAATTTCAAATTCGGGCTTCCAGATGTCCATATTCACAGTAGAATTAAGTCATTCAAAATTTGATGGCTCTAGGTACCATTGTTTTATCAGAATGCGAAAAACATACATGCATTTATGCAGATTCTTCACTATATAATTTCTTTAAATATAGTACAGGGTGATAATATTTGGTGGCAACAATTTGAAAAGTGATGCAGCCGTTTATAGTGTTTCAATACAAAACGAAAACAATAGTCCTTCAGGGACAAAGCCCCTTTGGATTAAATGTCAAACTTAAACAGATAATAAATCCACAAAATAAAAATGAAACTTCCAGGTCTCTTTTCCCTATACTGTGGTGGGTTTTTAAATTTGACTCTATTGTTTTTCAGCATTTTCTAGATTATTTTTATTTTATTTTCTAATATTTAAAATTTATTTCACTTAAAAATAGATTTTTAAAATTTATTTCCAGCTTTTCAAGGGATCGATTATCTCCATAATCATGAGCAATTTAATAACACAAATTATCAACTTATATCACAGCCTTCACAAATGCTGATGAAATTAATTAAAATTAATTACAATTTGGTTGCAAGATGAGATCTAAAGGTTGTTTTTTTGCAAATTTACATAGAGAATTTGCAACTATTGATGAAATTAATTACATTCCTTTTACCAAAAAATTACTTTATAGAACATTTTAAATGTATATAAGGAAGCAATTTAATTATACATTAGTTATCAACTTACATCAGAGCCTTCACAAATAGATGGTATTTCATTGCAAAATGAGGCTAAAGGCTGTTCTTGCAAACAAACCTGAAATGTACACAAAGAATTTGTAAATGCTGATGAAATTAATTACATTCCTTTTACCCCCCCCCCAAAAAAAAAGTTTATAGAAACGTTTTGTATAAGCAAGCAATTTAATAATACACTAATTATCTACTTACATGAGATCCTTCACAAATAGATGGCATTTTATCACAAGATGAAGTTGAAGCTTGTTCTTGCAAACAAACCTGAAATATATACATAAGAAATTTAGAAATACAGATAATATAAACTACATTCATTTTAAGAAATAATTATTTTACATAACATTTTATAATTCATAAATAGCTAATAAATTGTTAACACTCAAAATTCAAAAATAATTCCATAGCACAACAGCCAGATATAGTACAGCTGTTTAGGAACCATAAGACAAACAATTTCATATTTCAGAAATCGTATAAAAATTCATCAATATATGTAAAACATATGACATTTAATAGCTGCTCAAATGAAAACATAGCATAGATTCTTTACTAGCAGCTGTTATTTAATCAGAAGGTAATGCTAAATGTTGTTGCAAACACACCTGAGATGTACTGTAATGTACACATTTGCAACCACTGGTGAAATGAAACAAAGTGCATGATTATGAAGATGGAAACATTTAAAAAAACATAGTACAGTTTACGAATAGATGTTAAAAAACTATTAAAATTTTTTAGAAGTGCAAAATGGCAATTTACATCAGATACTTCGGCAGCAAAATTTATTTCTCCAAAATATGAAGCTGAAGGTTGTGGCAAATGAACCTAAAAGAAATTATAATATATGAAATATGTGGAAGTGAAAGAAATTATAAACTCTGATCGGATAAAAATAAATACAAATAATCATTACCATTTCAAAAGTAACTCAACTTATAAAAAAGCATAAATACATTGGACTGTTCATAGCATTCATACTTCTTAAACATAAGTAAATATTACGTTAACATATTTTTAATTTTAGAAACAGTGTTAATACTTTTTAGAAAAAGTTTATAATACTAAATATTTAATAACTGTTCAAATGAAGACTTACAACAGATGGTTCAGCAACAGAAATCGCTTCAGTTGATAAAGGTAAACTGTGCAGCAAGCCACCCTGAAGATGCAAAAAATTATGAAACACATATAAGTAAGGATACCTGAAAATGCTGATAAATAAAATATACTTAATGTAATTTTAATAATAAATAATATAAATAATCCTAATAAGTTTTGTAAATTTTTAAACAAAAAATAACAACATTCAGACAAGACATTTAAGACATTAAAATATACATTTAAATCAATGTATTATAACTATATTATTGTATTACTCAAGATTAAAGTTATTAATTTCAATATTATTTCTTTTACTTATACATATTTCTCTCTATTTGTCTGGAATACATATTTCTCCATACATATTTCTCTCTATTTATCTGGAATTTAAAATTAAGCAAAAAAGCAACTTTAGTTTAATATAAATTTTGATTTAAACTCTTTTGACTTTGAAGGCAATCAGATACAGGTTTCTTTCTTTTAGGAGCAAATTTGAAGAAACCAGACCCATGTATGACTGTCCTTGAAAAACTACATCAAATTGAGATTTTATGCCTAATTTTCAATATATGATTATAATAACAAAGTACATACTTAATTATATATATAACAACAGCAAAATTTTAATTTTTTTAATCTAATCTTAGGGACTGTAATTACAGCTTTATCACATAATGCCTTAATTTCAATATATTGATTCTTTTATAAAGCAATTTAGTCCATTTGTAATAAAAACATATTTTTTTTATGAAAAACCATAAAAATAAAAAACACATACATTACAAAAATTGGATGTAACTGAACGGTGCTTTGGTAAACCAATGCCTTTTAGACGCTGTGGGGGTCAACAGTTGTGGGGGGATTAGGCACATTGAAAAGAGTTGGCACAGCATTGGGCTTGAGTTTTTTACGCCCATCTTGCCTAGAGCATTCAAATTGATTTTCTTCAAAATGTACCTGTATATTTAACAAAAGCATGCATGAAATTTAACATTAAAATCAAAAGCACTAGTATTTAATTACAGTTACATATATTATATTAATTTAAGAATGTAATTTTCTGATAAATTTAATTTTTTTTTATGAAAATAGAACAAAATTTTTAAAAATTAATCATGTTTGTAAAACTACTTAAAACATATTTCCTGCTCACACACTAAAAATAAAGGACCTATAGTTAAAAATACATTAAGATTTACTACTACAATAAAGGATAATAATGGGATCAAAACGATTCATCGAATATTTAAATTAATATTTAACTTCTTAAAAATGTCTAAAAATATAGAATATATTTATCTTACTATAAAGAAAAAACAAAATCATTTATTATTTGGATCATACCATCCAGTTTTTAACATTGGCGCCAAATATCCGATTTGGCGACAATACATCAGAATCAAAACATAGAATGCTACTTTAAATCACCAATCGTACAGTAAAATTAAAGAAAAGAAAAAGGCACATCACATTTCTAACTGAGCACAAAGTTTACATGAAATGTATGATACAAATTTTACAAACGGTATAAACTTTTCACGATAACAAAAGAAACAACATGAAACAACGATATTTTACTGCACAAACACATACACATTCCGCAGTTGATTTTTGTACTTATAAAATCAGTTGATCGTCAATAAGTGACAGTTAAATGAAAATAATATTTTAAAGTACCAAGAAGAGTAATTTTTCTAACATTCTATGGAAAAATACGAAGCTGAACTTACCTCACAAAGATACGCTCCTGGGCCCGGGATCCATTGATCTCGACGAGAATTAACTATCCATTTTCTTCGTCTTTCTTCATTTCTAGGGAAACGAAACATCCTAAAGTTATTTTTAGACTGATTCGAACAATTTGGTGCAGCACAACCACCCATATTTCTGAAAATTAGGTCGGAATCGATCCACAAATATGTCAACAAATCAGTGCAAATCCAATAGCGAATACCAACAAGTTAGCTTCAAAATGGATGATGATTCAGCTCCCCTTTATAGTAGCCTTAGGCTCGGCTTTGATCTCAAGCAAATGGGCTGACTGCATAATTGGTTTTCATAGATTTCTTTTCGTGTAATATGAATACGAGTCAGTTTCCCTTAGAAAATCACCCACGAAGGCATTCCTTCTCTTAGGCAAATAGTCCTAAGTTTTGCCATATTCTGTCTAACCTAAATTTTACGTTCGAAGTCGATTGTAACGCCAGGCATTTCCCTAGCAGGGAGCGGGTGTGTTGGGTGCTATTGAGAGCTTTAATGAAATTTACTCAGTAAATGACAATGTCTGTTTTTTTTTTTTTTTTATCTGGTGTTGAGTTCTAAGACTGAAAAATAACGATAAGTTCAACATGTTCATATCATATCCTATAATCTTTGTCATGATTAACCTCCGTTCTCGTGTCATCCTAATGTTTCCTAATGTCTCATTTCTGTTTCAGGGAAAATTGTCAACTTATCAATAAGTGATTATTGGCATGATTGCATTAAAAACAGATTACATGTTCTCTTTTGCAAGTTAAGCAGTTGGTTTGCGGTGGTTAGGCATGGATGATGGAGCGTGCTTTGCCTCCTACGTTATTTCCAAAATATGATGATCCTAAGGAAAATAATAAAAGAAGAAAAAGAATCTAGTTTGTAGAGGTATACATATTTTAAGTGTTTAAGATCAGTTTTTAATGTATGCCTTGATGAGTGCAGACAATATAAATTATGCTATGACAACAGGTTCCGCAGATCTGCATTTGTATTATATGATTATGAAAATTATAAAAGTTTATTATCTGTGGGGAGAACTAAAATAAATTACAAATTTTACTGCAGTAAAAACTCCCCTGAGCTGTAAAAGAAATAAATAACCTTTGGAGCTATTTATTCTTGGCTTCTGCTATATTTTCTAAGGAGTATTGGCAACAATGATGGCATCTCTTAAACTTGTTACAAATGACGTGTTTATGGGTGTAAAATCTGTAAATATTTAAAGTTTTGCGTTATAACTTTTACAATAAATTACATACACAATGACGTGAATTTCTCATCTTTAAAATAGTTCAGAATTAGTTTTCGCGTTTTTTTTTTTTTTTTTTTTTTTTTTAAATTATGGGGCTGTGCAAATGTCCGAAGAAAAAAGTGACAAATCAATTTTGTTTCGAACATCGCGTGAATGTTTGTGAACATTGCATGGTCTCAAATCATTCTAAGGTAATCACCATAGAAATTAATTTGGTATTCATTATAAATATATTGTTTCTTAGCCTTTAACCCTTCGTTCCTTTCTAATTTTTGTGAATGAATGTGATGAAGTGTATATATCTTAAAAAAATCTTCACAGCTTTGGTTATGATTAAGAAAAGTTGACAATTAGAAGAAAGCAGTTATTTTTAATTCATTTTATTTGCGTATATTTCATATATATTGTTATAGAGGAAGAAATAAGTAGATTATAAAAAAAAAAAAAGTCCATTGCAAACTGTTTATCAGATCTCTTAACTCACTGATCCTTACGTATCAACTAAAATTTGATATTTCGTTGAAGATTCTGGAAAAGGATGGTACTGAGTAACACTACCTTATTATCAGTCGAAGATATTTGTTTTAGTGGATTTTAAACATTTGATAACTAATATATAATTTTATGATCAAAAATCTGTTTTAAACTTCATTTTTCCTAAGTGAACGAACGCGAACTAGAAAAAGATACATTTAAGCTAATAAAATGGAATTTAAATGAACTATTTCAAAGAGCTGAAGTATTTAAGTATTGATAATAGTAAAGTACAAATAATGCTAGGTTTATTTTATGCTCATAGTTTGTATTTTATATGCCCCACATGTGCCTGTATCATATTTCAGTAAAATTTCGGTATGAATACTTATTTACCGATTTAATGGAACAGTAATTTTAATACAATATGCTGTGTTTTTTTATTTTTATTTTTATTTTTTATTTATTTATTTATTTTTTTTTATTTTATTCCTTACAGTTAATGGGACAAACTAATATTAAACAGCCTATTATCTCTGTTGCTTCAGCAGCTTATTGAAATTTTATATTATTGCTATGAATTTTCTAAACATGTAAATAATTTTAATGAAATTATGTTTGAAATTTTATTATCTTTAGTTTAAAACAAAATCTGAAGAGGCGAAGCTTTCCCAGAAAAATAACATGAGCAAATGGCTATCTCACTAAATTGGTGAGATATTGCCAAGCTGGTGACGGTTTTGATGACTAATTTTTGGTGTCACAAGGGGGATTGCGTGCTAGTCGCAAGAGGGATTGGGGGTAGCAAATAAGACAGCTGGTGACTGCCTTTGTTGCATTCCAAGAAAAGGTGGAAGGGATGATCAACTGTGTTTAAAGGAGAGAAGAAAGTGGGTCAAGTCAGTTAAAGAAAAGATAAAAGCAGGTCAAAAGGAAATGAAAACAGAAAAGTACAAATTTTAAGCTATAGAAAGCAGTATAGACACAGTTGAAAACAAAGTTGGAGAAACTAAAGAAAGAGTTGTTTGCTCTGTCAGAGAACAAATCGAAGAAAGAGTTTTTGCCATCAAACAAGAAATCGATTACAGAGTTTCTGCTTTCACCAAAGAAGTTGACACCTTAAGAAATTCACCTTAAATGAAAACGGGAAGCAGTTTTGACAGTTTTAAATTTTTACCCATGCCTTCTCATCTCTCTCTAAAGCTATCCACATATGATGAGACTCCTGGCAAGTGTACAAGATGCAGTTCTATATATTAAGAAAAACAAATGGATGGGATTCCAAAGCTAAGGCTAGACTTACTAACTGTACCTAGCATGTTGAAACTGTGCTTTGGGAAGTAGTGTTTTAAAGACTATAGCAAGCTTCAGCTAAAATCTCCCCAACAAAAGCTCACAAAAATGCTCTGGGAGCTTGCCACAGATGTTGAAAGGCTGTCTCATCTCAACTTTTTGACCTGCAAGGGAATCCTGTCCCTGCAGTACTTCATCGATGAGATCCGGAATCCGCAGATACAGAAAGCCTTGCAAATGGCATAGATGATAAGGATATGAAAAGCGCTGCAATGTATGCCATGAAGTTTGAGGCAGCACAGCAAGCAACTCGTAGAGACTGCTATCTAATCAGAGCTGCTCAAGTCCAGGAGCTAGTGGATCATGTGATTGCTCTTCTAGATGATTTAATCAGTTAAGTCTGCTCTTCTAGATGATTTAATCAGTTAAATCTGCCTTGAAATGGAATAGGAATTGCGAGAAATCAACCCTAAAGTGCAGGAATTACTGTGCTGAAGGCCATATATGAAAGAACTGCAAAACATGCCAAGACACGGCACCAGCAAGGATGCAAGAAACAAATTTGTGGCCATCTCATGGAGTGGGGATTGCAACATATTGAGAAGCCCCATTTTAAAGCACTTCAAATTTCTACAGTGATGCTTTACCCCCCCCCAGATTGTGTTCGTGTATAAAATCGACATCGACGGGAATTTAAACATTAGCATCATGTTTGGAAATGCCATTGCGTGGCATATGTAGCAAACATTACATAGTAGAATTTTTACTTCCTGCATCCATAGCTGAAAAGAGGAATTTCCAGTATGGTATCATGGATTATCCCAATAAAATGAAGTGGATGGAGCATAGACTACAGTGACTTGTGTTAAACAGTAAATTGCTAGAATTGACGACATTCAGTAACAGTAACTTTCCATAATCTGTGTCTTTGGACAGCCTAACATCGAAGTTATTATTGCACGATGCACAACTAGTGATGAAGAGTGAATGTTGCGGAATGTGTCTTCAAGATGTTTTCACCCTCTTATTATCTGATGTAAAGCAAACCATTTTGACACGGGATCATCCATCAATTGTGCAACATCCAGGACGTCTACTAGTTGCTAAACAAGAGGAGGTAATAAAACTTTTAAAGGGTATGCACTTAAGTGACATTATCGAGCCTTCAACAAGTCAGTGGGCCTTTCCCATCATCCTGGTCAGAAAGAAGGACAGTTCAACTAGAATTTACATTAACTATCGCCAGTTGAACGACATCATAAAAAAAAGACAGCTCCCGTTTTGCTAGAATTGACGACATTCTGTACACTTTTTCTGAAAGACATTTTCGATGCTTTATTTAAAGAGTGGTATTGGGAGGTAGAGAAACACCCCGATGACCAAGAAAAGAAGGTATTTACTACCAAAAGACTTTGGATTATGTATAGTGCCAGCAACGTTCGAATGCCTTATAGAGAGAGAGTGCTGAGAGGTCTTTCGTACAAATCTGGATAACATCATCATCGTGAGGAAAACTTTTGAAGAGCATTTTAGAAAATCTCCGAAAAATGCTTCAGAAACCGAAAGAAGCCAATCTAAAGTACCAGATTTGTGAAGGACTTTTCTTGCCATCGTAGGACCCCTTCACAAGCTGACAAATAACCAGCAAAAGTTCTTGTGAATAAAAGAATGTGAGGACACATTTAATTAACTGAAGGAAGCTTTAGTAAAATCCTAGTATAAAGTATGGTCTTGGTGTGATTTTGAAAATTGTTGCCACAGGGAAGTCAAATGTTAAGTCTGCAGTTTCAGCGAATTTTTGTGTAGCTGCTTCAGATGTTCAGATATTGTGGGAGCTTAAGGTTTTAGGAATTAAAAAAAAAAAAAAGGAGTTAAACGTAGTTGATAAAGCGCTGATAGATGAATTTGAGAAAAATTTTAAATTTGTGAATGAGAGATATGAAACTGATTTATTATGGAAGTTTAGTTACGATGAATTAGGAAATAATTATTTTTTAGCTAAAAAGAGGTTTGATGAGTTAGAAAAGGATTTTTCTAAAAATGATTGAATTGCTAATGAGTATAGGGATATAATAAATGACCAAAAACAAAATGGAGGAGTTATTGAGGAATGTGAGAGAGATGAGCATGAGTATTTTATGCCTCATAGAGCAGTTGTTAGGGAAGATAAGGAAACAACCAAAGTTCGTATAGTCTTAGACTGTAGTTCAAAATCTAAAGGTAATCTTTCTTTAAATAATTGTTTGGAAATTGGCCCAAATTTAATTCCAAATATTCTTGATGTGATTCTAAAATTTCGTAATTACAAAATAGCGTTTAATGGTGATATAGAGAAGGCTTTCTTAATAATAAAAATTTCTGAAAGAGATAGAAAATTCTTAAAATGTCTTTGGTATTCAGATAACCCTAATGAAGAATATAAAATTATTAGAATGAAAAGACTACCCTTTGGATGTAAAAGTTCCCCTTTCATTTTGAGTGCTACGATAAAGCATCATATAAAAAAATATGAAAAAAGTAAACCGAAGTCATTTGAAATGTTAAATTCATCAGTTTACGTAGACGATTTATATTATGGTGGAGACTGTGAGAGAATCATTTGAGTTATCATCAGATGCTGTATCAATATTAAAGAGTGGTGGATTTAATTTGAGGAAACTGAGGTCAAACGGTAGAGAATTAGAAAAATTGTGGATAGAAAATGGACTTAGTGACAGTGAGATAGTGAGAGTTCAACATGTGATGCACTAAAAGATGTGTTTTACAGACAGCTGCAAGAATCTTTGATCCTATTGGTTTAATTGTGCCGTTTGTGATACATATAAAGTTATTGTTACAGGAAATTTGGTAGAGAGCATTTGATTGGGACGAAGAGTTGTCGCAGGAAAAGTGGTTAATGTGGTGTAATGAAATTTAAAAATTAATAGACGTTACTATTCCAAAATATTGTTTTCTGGATCGTGAGAATGAGCAATCGGAAGTACATGTGTTTTGCGATACTTCACCAAGTGCTACGGAACTGTTGTTTATTTTAGATATTGTGAGAATATTGGGAATTACAGAATATCTTTTATAATGTCGAAGAGTAGAGTGTCACCGTTAAAGAAACTAATGCTGCCACAGTTGGAGCTAATGGCCTTGGTAATAGGTGCTAGAGTGGGAAATTACCTTAAGAATGTTTTTAAGGATAAAATTGGAAGAATAGTGTTTTGGAGTGATTCTTGTATTGCGTTGTATTGGGTGAAGGAAAGTGCGAAGAGATGGAAACAGTTCGTTGCCAACCGGGTTGTGGAAATTCAGGAAAGATCGAGTCCAAGTGATTGGTATTGTCCATCTGGCGATAATCCTGCAGATTTGCTTACTAGAGGAATCTCGGCTGAGAAATTTGTACTTAATGAAAAATGGTGGTCAGGTTCAATTTGGC